ATACCATTATCGGACATTTGGGAAGTCCATTTGTTATCGAACTACCTAATAATTGAATATTGGATTGTATTTCTCAAAGAGGTAAATTTTCAATCCCATTTGGAAAATGGCGAGCTAATCAAAAAGAAATGCGTCGTTTGCAAGATTTATACTTGCTGAATTTATTTATGCGACAGTAAAGATTTGTTGGCTAGTTTCGAAATTGTGATTTGGAAAATGTTTTAGTCCTTTTAAAAGAACATTTTTGGTTTTTATGTATAAAAGCAGTAAAGAATGATGATGTATTAAAAAACTTACGCTAGACTGTAACACTGCAAAACCTGAAACAAAAAGTACCAATAGTTAAAGATATGCAATGGAGAGACTAAAGCCAGAAAATTAAGTATGATTTCTGTACAATAATAGATAACTTTCAATTGAATCTCCAGAAAGGAGAATAGGTATTCGAAAATAAGGAGGTTTTTACTAATATTAAAGCACAACATTTTTTTACAAGAAAATACATTTTTCACTAAAAGTACGAAGTCGCTCAGCTGCAGTGTTACGAAAATTAAGATTTATGAATATGCCAATAAATTTAGTAAACCTGAGAAACGTGTATAAAGGGATTTGAAAAGTTGTAGGCAAACATTTGTTCTGTCTTTTCTATTTGTAACGGGTTTGTTAGGAAAATACTGAAGATAAATAGGGAAAGACGCACAAGCCGTTCGCGGTAGAACACTTGGCACAACTTTTAGTTGAGGCAACTCTAAACTTTGTCCGTTTTAGTTGAGTTGCTGCTACGAAAAGTTGAAAGTTGATTTATGTTTCTTAGGCTGGGTTGCACCATCTTACTTTAACTTTAACAAACGTCAAAAATCTGTCAACTCCATATAAAAAACACCGGTTATTGTTATAGCTTCTGTTAAAGTAAGATGGTACATTTCAGCCTTAATTTAGATCATTGTCTCAAAAACGTGGGATGCTAGATGCATCGATAGCTTTCTTAAAAAGAGAAAGACGAATGCAGATTTAATCCTACTAATATTATAAATGCGAAAGTTTGTATGGATGTCTGGATGTCAACATGTTGGTTACTCTTTCACGCAAAAAATACTGATCGGATTTTGATGAAACTTTACAGTATTATTGTTTATAACCCAGAATAACACATAGGCTACAATTTATGACGATATATGACAAACTAAATTTTACGCGGGTGAAGCCGCGGGCAAAAGCTAGTCTATGATGTAGCAAGCTTCTCTTCACTTCTGATTAGTTCAGAGGTGGGTGGTATAAATTCAGGAATAGTGACGTAAGCAGGGAATTTCACTTCCTAGTTGTGGGACTTTAGGACTTGCGCTAAAGTGCCTGTCATGCATCCCTAAATTACGAACTCAATTGTTAAGTCTATGTAGTTTCTCCACATACATAGTTCCATCTAGTTGATGATATTAATTGATCAGCAATTTTGTATAACAGCTATTGAACTGCTGAAAATGTAAGTTTTGATAAGTACTTTTACAGCTGAGTTGCATCACCTTACTTTAACCATAACTGTAATCATAGCCGGTATTTTCGTATGGAGTTTGTCAGACTTTTGACCTTTATAAAGTAAGAGCCTAATTTAATTTTGGTTGACTTTAACAACTCGTAGTGCTGCAAGCCCATTACGAAGTTAGTATGTATTCTCCTCTCAACAAACACATTGTTGGTGATGTTGGTCTCACACTGTTTCATGCTTCAGGGCACACTATTTAAGCCGCTTTGCTTACAATGTTTGCTATTTCCAATTAAGGTTTGAAAATGCGTATAACCACAGAAGCACAGTTGCGTTAAAGTTATTTTATTTTAACTAACAACGTTATACCGCTATTAGCGAGATGCGAGACAATAATTAAAGTGTGGGCTATGAAAACAGTTGAACTAATTTAATTAATTTGATAATGATTTTTCTGATTAGCTTAAAGGTCATTTAGCAGATAATGCCTTATAGCAGGGGTGGTCGATCGCGAATATTAGTCCAGTCGATCGTGGCAAGGCAAAAATACTACATGATTGTGTACTAAACTATGCTGTTTCATTTAAGATTTTAAGAAGTATGTAAGTGGTAGATCGCCCAGGGTTTCATTAGTATACAGTAGATCTTAATGTCTAATCAAGTTGGCCACACTTGCCTTATAGCATAAGTTTTGATTATGTAGAAAACAATGAAAATACTTAATAAATAACACGAACTTGTATTTTAAGGTGACCGAGCTTTGTGAAAGCTTGCCTAAAAGTCAAGTCTATTAGTTAAATACTTAAAATAAAAATGTGTTCATCTTTTAAAATGTCTATCTAAAAGTATGATTCTTTTTCTACCGCTGTTTTAATGGCCGCACATCGATTTCACATGCGCGCTAATCGCAGTAACAAAGATTTTATGAGAGCATCTCCCACGACCACTTGTTGTAATCATCATTTGTTATAGTATATCAAATTACTGTATCACTGAACGCAGACATTAATAATATTTGGGCAAACGCGGTTCAACACAACTCTGAAGCGGAATGGATTAAGATAGAGTCAGATGAAACTAGAAATTTACCACAGATGGAGTTTGATTGCATTTCAATAGACACTCTTCTTAAAGTAATCAACAAGACGCATAACTGGAAAGCCCCTGGCACCGATAACATCCAGAACTATTGGTACAAGAAGTTCACAAACACCCATCCCTCTTTACATAAGCATATCAATGATTTTATTCGCAGTCCGAATTTAATGCCTTCATACATTACACAAGGTTTGACGTATATGATCCCCAAAAGCGCAGAACATCACGATCCAAGCAAGTACAGACCGATTACGTGCTTACAGACCATATACAAGATTCTCACATCATGTTTAACCGAAGTTATCTACGACCATGCCATTGACCATCAGATTCTAGCTGAAGAACAAAAAGGGTGTAGGCGCAGTAGCCAGGGCTGTAAAGAGCAGCTTATCATTGATTCAGTAGCTATGAAATTTGCTTTAAGAAATAGAATTGACATTAGCACAATGTACATTGATTACCGGAAGGCATACGATTCGGTCCCACACAGCTGGCTTCTGTATGTTTTGAAAATGTATAAAATCCATCCCATTATTATCACATTTTTAGAAAACTGCATGAGCATGTGGTCTACAAACCTCAAATTAACAAGCAACACTACAAACTACATCACTTCGAGCATTCCCATTAAGCGAGGTATATTCCAAGGTGACGCTCTTAGTCCACTTTGGTTTTGTCTTGCCTTAAACCCCCTATCAAATATGTTGAACAAAACAAGCTTAGGATTTAACATGCCACTACAACGGGACTACAATACAGGCACACTTGTGAACACAACTCTCACACACCTTATGTACATGGACGACATAAAGCTCTACAGTAAAAATACACAATCTCTTCATCAGTTAGCAGACATTACGCAAACCTTCTCAAACGATATAGGCATGGAATTCGGGATAGACAAGTGTAAAACCGTGACTATCAAAAAAGGAAGAATTGAACAAAAGGACTACATGTTAGAAAATGGCAATAATATTGAAGCGCTAGATGCTAAAAGTTCTTATAAATATCTTGGATTTCATCAACTACGACAAATCAACCACAAACAAACAAAAAAAGACATTATAACGAAATTCAAGCATCGACTCAACATATTACTTAGATCTCAACTTAATTCTAAAAATCTGACAAAATCTATTAATTCATTCGCAATATCTTTACTTACCTACTCATTTGGAATTATCACATGGAGCCAAACAGACCTAAAACAACTACAGCGTATAGTACATACTACAATGACAGCTCATCGCAAACACCATCCAAAAGCATGTGTCCAACGCATCACACTACCACGAAAAGAAGGCGGCCAAGGCTTCATTGACATAAACAACTTGCACAATAAACAGATAAAAAATCTCAGACACTTTTTCCATGATAGAGCAGAACTTTCAACACTTCATAAAGCGGTAGTCTACTGTGACAAAAATTTAACTCCCCTTAACTTGCATGACAATAACACACAAAAGAATGAACACATCACACCTGATCCTGAAAAAGCGTTCATGTGGAAGCAAAAGGTTATTCACGGCCGACATTACCACGATCTGCACCAACTTCATGTCGACAAGGCAGCGTCGAACGCATGGTTGCAGAGTGGACAGTTGTTCCCTGAAACAGAAGCTTTCATGATCGCCATTCAGGATCAAGTGATTGACACTAAAAACTATCAAAAATACATTCTTAAGAAACCAAATATTACTGATACATGTAGAAGATGCCATAGCAGTCCCGAGCACATACAGCACATTACAGGCGCCTGTAAAGCCATCGTACAAACTGACTACAAACACCGACATGACCAGGTAGCAGCAATAGTTCATCAACATTTAGCATTTAAATTTCATTTCCTCACACAAAAACTTCCTTATTATAAATACCAACCTACTACAGTTCTGGAAAATCAAGACTACAGAATATACTGGGATAGAACCATAATTACCGATAAAACCATCCACTACAATAGACCCGACATAACTCTTCATGACAAAAGTAATAAAACAGTATATTTAATTGATATCGCAGTATGCAATACACATAATTTACAAACCACACAATCTGAAAAACTGGCAAAATATCGAGACCTAGCAATAGAAATCAGGACGCAGTGGCGAGTAACAACAGTTCTAGTAGTCCCTATAGTGATATCCACTACAGGCGTCATCCCTAGGCAGCTACATACGAGTCTTAACACCCTTGACATAACCCCGTCTATATACAAATTACTACAGAAAGCAACTATTTTAAATACGTGCAGGATAGTGAGAAAGTTTTTAAACATTTTATAACGTGACTAGGATGCATTTGGCCTCGGCCCGTGCTCCTAAAGTTAACCTCTTAGGAGAGAAAAAACACTAAAATACATACAATAATAATAATAATACTTAACACGTGTAAATCAGCCTTAACTCTTATCATCTTCTAGACCCTACATGTCAGTGGGCACGCTCCTCGACCAAGTGACGTACCCGTCGCGCGTGCACGGGCCGGAGGCGGAACAACGCGCGTTGCACGTGCTCAAGCTCGTGCGACTGGACGCGTGCGCCGCGCGACACGGCGGACTGCGGGCCGAGCGCGACTGGCGCGCCACGCTGTCTGGCGGCGAGAAGCAGAGGATGGCTATGGCTAGGATGTTCTATCACAGGTGAGAAGAATTTTTCCAGTGGCCTAATTCACGTATTTTGACATAGTCAAAATATCTTTGACGTTTAGAAGTCGTCCTATTGAAAAATATAGTAAACTGTCCTATCGATGACATTGACAGTGGGGCGCCACCGTCAATACCGGATCGCTGGTTCCGATTTTTGCCATGTTGGAAACCATATAGTTGAACGATGGTAGCGCCCCCCTGTCATTGAGTTTGGTGGGACAGTTCAGCGTGGGTCATCTATAGTTCTAAATCCGTATTCACAATTGTCATTTCGATTGAACAATTACTCGATAGGATCGCAACTAAGCGATTTGTTGTCGTTGAAGTTTTGTTACGTGAATTAAGGCTACAGGATGACTATGCTTACGTCTTTTTTTTGCTTTGCGCACCGTCACCAATACCGAGACAGGGTGGTGTGTGGGACTCCCGGCGCTGTGAAGAACGCTGCTCCGTCCTGAAAAGGACGGGGTATACAGGGTGTTAGGTAAATGGGTATATGAGCCGACACTAGCCCATGTTAACATGGTCATATAAATGGTATGGTGAAGTCATTAAATTTTTTTTAATTTTCATACAAAATAAATTTTATAAAATCCGACTTGTATGAAAATTAAAATAATTAAAATGAAGATATCAATTTTCTGACTTCACCATACCATTTATATGACCATGTTAACATGGGCTAATGTCGGCTCATATACCCATTTACCTAACACCCTGTATTCACTAAAACCGCCGCAACGTCCCGTCATCACCCGAGTGGGAAAGTCGCGAGTATCCGATCGTAGCCTTAGGGACGATATCCATTGACGGCGCGCGTCGGAGCCCACTTACACGGCCGTGAAGAAAACAGTATTTTATTAACAGTTCTAAAGGCTTCCACAGACCAAACGCGGGCCAGAAGCAGTGCGGCAGCGCAGTTTCAAAGCAGTTGCAACGCGGGCGGTTGTCAAAAAATTCAATATTCGAAAACCGTTTTCAATGCGCTGCTACCGCCCTGCGTCCGGTGTGTCATGCTAATATGGCCGCCGTAGTAATACAAAAGCGCGGGCCCGCGTTCGCGCCGCTTCTGTCCCGCACCCGCGCCGCCTCGATTGTCGTTCGGCAGTTGTAGTGCGGTGCGGTTGGAGCGCGGGCCCGCGTTCAAATTTGGTGTGACACACTTCAAAGAGTTTCTTGTATTACAACTTGCGCGGGCCCGCATTCAAACTGCGCTGCTACTGCCCCGCGTTTAAAGTCGTAATGAGGGCTATCGTTTTTATACTTAACAGTTGGCACCCCTGGCGATTGACAGGACCTTACTCTACAGTGGCGCCATCTTGATGAGTGCAAATGCGATAGTCCTTCTACCACTTTAGCGCTCACCAGTTGGTGCCACTGTCTTCGCTACTAGCAAGTGACAGGACCTTACTCTACAGTGGCGCTAACTGGTGAGCGCTAAAACGATAGCCCTCATTGCTTACAACTGATTAACTGACATTTCAATCCGGACGGATGCGCGAGCATGCGTCGGAAGCCAGTCGGCTCCGAGCGTATACGGATACGTGCGCATTCCACCGCATTTTTGGCCGAACGGACGCTGCGTTGCTCCGTATTTCAGTTAAATCCAATTTTGTAAAAAAAATAGTTTTTTTCTTGGGCTCAGGGCCCCCTCGGCTTAGGGGCCCGTGGTATTTCGCCAGCCCTGCCACCCTGTAATTACGCCACTGGATTTATAAAACTCGCTTACCCTAATGTCTATTTCAGGCCTGTATACGCGCTATTGGACGAATGTACCAGCGCCGTTTCCATGGAGACAGAGGTGGTGATGTATGAAGCAGCCGTGCGCGAGGGCATCACGCTGCTGTCCATCACGCACCGGCCCAGCGTATGGTGAGTACCATCATCATCATCATCATCATCATCAGGTGGTGATGACGAGGCAGCCGTCGCGAAGGCATCACACTGCTGTCCATCACGCACCGGCCCAGTGTCTGGTGAGTACCATCATCATCATCATCATCATCATCATCATCATCAGGTGGTGATGACGAGGCAGCCGTCGCGAGGGCATCACGCNTAAACATTTTATAACGTGACTAGGATGCATTTGGCCTCGGCCCGTGCTCCTAAAGTTAACCTCTTAGGAGAGAAAAAACACTAAAATACATACAATAATAATAATAAATAATAAAATCTTTAATATATTTCAGAAGCAAGCATAATTGCTTTGGATAATTGCATAATTGACTTTAGATGAAGTAAAATTACTCCAAAACTATTAAATTTCGGATTTTTTTAAAATATCACGTGAGATTAGGGGGTGGGGGAGGGGGTCAGGCAAAATCTCACCAAATCTCACCAAGGGGGGCGGGGGAGTTGAAAAATAGCCAAAATTGTCTCACGTAATTTATGGACGCCCCCTTAGTCAATATTACTTTTGACAATTTTTTCTAGTCGTATCATCGAACTTCCACGGAATAGGCAAGTAATATTTTCAGGTATTATAGATAATTATATCATGCATCAATATAAAGTAAATATAGCTGCCAATTTTCTAGTGTAACGGAAAAAAAAAATGTTTTCTGAAAATCATAAATTATAAAATAATTCCTAAATTACTGCAGCAATAACCATTTATTTCTGCATAAAGGTAGACGTTATAGTGATAGGTAAATTTATTTACAAAATTCTGACTTAATGTAATTTTTTTTAGAAAATATGCTTCTAAAACTGTTTTTTTTTTATAAAATCACAAAATCGAATATTTCTTCGAAACTAAGCAAATACAACTACTAGTTTCTTCATCAATTTTATACATAATAGTAATATCTAACGATTGAATTAATAAAACAGGGATGTCCGCTTCTAAGGGAAAATAAAAGACTGTGCAACGGTACATAACGGCAAATAAAAAGCCTACCTTAAAAATACTTATCTAAAGAATTAATGAAAAAAATATATATATAAAAACCAGTGATCACACATTTTTAGTACATAGGTACCTACTTGGAATTAAACTAATACAAGTCGTTTATAGATACAAGAAAAATATTTTTTATTAAACTGCAGTCGGCCATGTATAATAGCTGCCTCTGCCTTTATAGACATTTAAGTATTATTATTGTTATTTTTTTTTATTTCCATATTAATGTCCTGATTTATTGTTTCTTTTTTTGTGTGCCAAATAAATCATTCTTTCTTTCTTTCTTTATTATAATAGGACTGGGATTTTTTACTAGAACCTTCATTAAATGAAGTAGATAACATCGAATATGATCAAAGACAACAATAACGCTAATCGAGTAACGTTATTGGTAATATGTGAGTTATTAACTACCATTGTGTTAAGCGATAACGATTCAGATATCAAAGCAAAGCTTCAATCGAGATTATTACCTATGTGTGTCACGGCATGGCGCTTTAAAAGGCACTATATTCATCAATTACTTACAACTTACGCACAATATGTTGGTTGACGATATTATACCGTTTGTAAGCACGACGTAACGTAATATGTTCTTGAAAGTATTTAAGTCTAGCTTTTTCCCGCGGCTTCATCCGCGTGAAATTTAGTTTGTCACAGATCGCCATAAATTATAGCCTATATGTTAATCTGGGTTATAAAGAATAATACTGTAAAGTTTCATCAAAATCCGTTCAGTAGTTTTTGCGTGAAAGAGTAACAAACATCCATCCAGACTTTCGCATTTATAATATTAGTGGGATGCGTGCAATTTTTCAATTGCTAATCATTTCCATCAGGTGAGATGCAGGTCAAGAGCTTCCTCGTTGTGGATAAAAAAAAACAATTAACAGTTTTTATAATTATTATTTATTTATTTATTTATTTATGTCCTAACTGTACCTACCAATATCTACATTTTAAGTACGATTAATTTCACACTTTATGTAGAGAAAACAATAAGTACCTAACCCTTGCACAAACGCTAGTTTAGTTTACACTTTAAATAAAGTTTAATAGTAATCGATATAAATAACCCAATCTCCCGTGAAAACCGGTTTAAAGCAGTTGATGAAACTTTTCTAGCGAGGGCAAAACCGCACCGGGTAATCCGGTCCGAGCCGGTCCTTAGTTGCCGGTCAGCGGTCCGTCATTGTCGTCTGTGGTCCGGATTGGGTGCCTGACTAATCCAGGGTTAACACTGCATACGTCACAGTGACATGGTGTAGCAAGGTACAGCAGGGCTTTCTTGGTTAGGAAGCTGTAGTGGCATATTTGGCAGTTCTTTTTCTAAAAATATTCAATTGCACAAGCATGAGTGTTGTTAAATGAAACAAACAATGCGATCACTTTCGTTCAACCCTATAAAAAAATGACCTTCACTGGTTTGGTTTTATTGGAGGTCAGGTTGTAATTCCTGGCTACACAGTATTTGCATCGGTGGAACGAGCGGTGGGAATAGTTCAATAGTCCCGTTTTACTGAAAAATTGGCTCTTTAGTCAACTGAGGCCGCTCGAACATAACCTGCGGGATGGGTTGACCTAATGAATGTTTTGAATCGAACTAATCCCACTGATATATTTTAAGAGGCTTTAAAGGCTTTAAGACTCATAATCGATTAAATAAGTTGTTGATCAACATCAACTTGTGAGCAATATATCACAGCACAGCCTATCAAGTAGTATATAGAAGTCTGGTTGAAAACACTTTTATAACTCGTCCTCTAAGCTTTCTCCTTTAAAATTTAGTTTTACCCAGAAATGTTACATTTTCTTGAGGATTTATGCGTGCCCGCGTATATTAATCTACAGTCGCACGAATGATTTATAAACGTTAGTTTAGTTTGACAGTTCTGTTGCTTAATCTGTGGTGTGCGGCTCCTATCGTGGGATTAGTTGGGATGAGCCTGTATTAGCATTGTCCCTCGTATGCATCATTCTCGAGAATGTTTGTGACTAACAATATGCCTTTAAATGCGTGTCACGATATAATCTTATCGTCGATTTTAAATGACAAATGTATGAATTTATCGTCTAAAATCGATAAAATTATTCAAGAAAGCGATATTGGTGCACATTTTAGGCTAGTGGGTCTTAGAGCATACCAGAAAATAATAACGTTAAAGAAATTTTGCCATTTTTTGTAATTTCTATTTGTACTCGTTATTAATTTAGGTCAAAACTCTACCAAGTCTATAATGGGTAAAGAATCCATCGGCAATTATTATCCGGTTACCGCAGGGGATTAGGCTTAATTAGGTGTCCCTTACCGGCCTCCCCGCGGGACACCAATTAAGGCCTGCACTCAGTGCAACGGAGGATAATTTTTAAAGGGAATTTACGGGAGGAAATGATATTTTTCAAACGATCTTGCCACAAGATTATTTAGAGATAATGAAAGCTCTGTAATATAGTGCTCATGCCATTATACATAGAGACTTACAAGCTATTGCTAGTTGGTCAATTTATCGTTGTAATTTAGTTAAAGCTTAATTTTGTAATAAATTATAGCCTCTATCTGTTATTCTGATGTAAGCATAAACTTTTATCAAAATCAGTTCAGCACTTTTTGCGCGAATGAGTAACAAAATAAATCCACCTGCACAAACTTTTCTTCGACCATCAACTACCATGCACATCTTCATAAACAACTCCCCTTACAAAATTTACACGTAATCGTGTAAATGACTGNTAAACATTTTATAACGTGACTAGGATGCATTTGGCCTCGGCCCGTGCTCCTAAAGTTAACCTCTTAGGAGAGAAAAAACACTAAAATACATACAATAATAATAATAATAAAATCTTTATTTAAGCAAGACAGATTTACAAAAAACGGAATGACAGTCTTAAGATACATTAACATTATAATTATAGTAGTTAGATTGCTATATTTAATTTATTTTGCAAATGTTATTCTTTCGAACTGGATACACACATACACACGTCGTAAAGTTAACGTACCGGAACCACCTATAAGGTGGACTGACGTCCTCCTAAAGGTAGCAGGAAGGCGCTGGATTCAGGCCGCTACAGACCGGCCATTAAAGAAATCATGGTGCCTATGTCAAAATCAAAATCAAAAAATCAAAATCAAAAATATTTATTCAGTTTAGACCACAAGTGGCACTTATGAACGTCAAAATGTAGTAAAAAAGAAAAAAGAAAAAGTAGCCCTTATGGGGCACTTTACATGTCTCCTTATCTTTTGGGCCTTATGTTCAGCAGTGGGCGTCCTATGGCTGAAATGATGATGATGAAAGTAAGTTTAGTACTATTTCTTTGCATCATAAAATATAGTTTTTTTATTACATGTCATCAGGTCTTGTAGGTTCCCACTAATCTTATGCTTCTTTCGTGGCTTGAATAATCATAATTATGTTAAAACCAATATTTTTCAGGCTTCTCAGGCCATTGTATTAAATTACTCGTATTATAATTTATACCTATTGTTAATTTGTCCTTAGAGTTAATAATGTATCGATATAGTTTGCCAGTTCAATAAGCAATTAGTGGGTTTCAACAATTGGTGGAAATTACGCGCCTAGTTAGAAGGAGTTCATTAAATCATACTCTCCATAGAGAACTCTACGAAATAGGCAATACTAATGTATTCATGGGATTATTAATTAAACTTCCATTATAATGCTGTTAGTTTGCTTTGTTTACCATAGAAGATGAGTGTTGAAGGTCCCTGGAAGAGTCTGCGATGCGGGCAACGCAGGACCGGTCGTTATATGGAAATCCTTGGGGGAGGCCTTTGTCCAGCAGTGGACGTCATTTGACTGAAATGAACGAGCGACTTCTATATGAAGTTATTTGTTTCAATTAAACAATATCTATTTTCACTTAAGCTGAAGAAATCTTGTACAATAGATGAAACCACATAGATACCTACTGTAACTCCAAAAATATTTACGTACTATGTCTAATCACTAACACTAATAAG